GGCCTTGGAATTATCGAGCGCAATAGTTCTTGATTCTCCATGTTTCTCGATTGCGTTAATTCAAATATGGGTGACATACGATAGAAGGTCGATAGTTGATCTTTGTGCCCGAAAGCCATATTGATGATCGCTCAAGATGTTGAAGCCTTCCAAATATTTGAGGATATGGTTGTTTACAATATTCTTCACTATTTTGGATATCACTCACAGCAAAGTGACTGGTCTATAGTTATTTCGAATATTTTTCTTGCCCTTTTTGGGAATAGGCTGAAAGCGAGCAATCTTTTAACAAAATGTTAAACCCCCTTTTTTGATTAACAGCTACCGACCAGAAGAATCGAGACCGGTTGGGATTGGCGAGCAGTTTATCCCTAATTCTCTGATTGTGAAGTTCTTTGCTTCAATTTATCCTAAGTTTGCAGCTGTTGCGAGCATTTACAAACCTAGTTCGGTTTTCGGCACTTGGTAGGCCACTTCCGGTAGGCAGGTAGGTACGACCTATGTTTGACAAATTATTCATTGAATGAATTTGTTCGGATTGGAGAGTTTTGATATCATTTGATAAAGCCTGTATTCTGGGATGTTTATGTACTGTTTGTGGCTGAGTCAAGTCAAAAATGTTTATTAAGTTTTAGGATAAAATTACAAAATATTGTGACAGTGTATTTTGTGTGGGGTTCTGCTATAGGCTTATACCTTTTCAGGGTATTGTTTGTGGTTATACGTAAGTTTGCATTGCTCTATTCAAATTTCTAGGATAAGTATTCTGGTATATCTGTTCTTTGATATTTCATTGACATCTAAATGACGAATGCATTAATTTTATTGATCTACACGTTTTTAGAATTATATCGCATGTATTGCTCCATACATACATGTTTGAAAACATCTAATCATTTTCGTCTAGATATTATTGATGCTATAGTATCGTACCCGATTGGAAGTGTGATCTTTGAATTGATCTATTTCTGTCAAAATCTGAAAATCGAACTTTACAGAAAGTTTATCTAGTAATATTAACAGATCCATGTGGAATATTTGTATGATTATGAAAGATGATATGTTTTGAAATCTATTGATGTACCAAATTTTTATGAACATTTACATGATATTTATTCAAAATGTTCGTAGCAAGTCATCACAGCCACGTTGTTAGCGTTGCGCATACAAAATTTCTCTCACGAGAGATTTTGTATGCGCTATATCTCACTATATATCTCAGGAGCGAAAGCTGATATCGAAAAATGCTTGAAATCGTTTCTAGAATAGTAATAATGAACTAAAGTGACATGAAAGAGAACTCACCCTCATCAACCCCCTAGGCCTCACCCACCAAAACCCAAAAAGTTTAAATTGCAAACCTCTACTTGTGGTACATCATTGAAAATACTATATAAAATGCTATCCAATGGTATAAATAATAATTGTACATATTGGAGCAATAATTGTGAAACTTTGGCTTGAATGGAATATTTAATGAGATTTTTGTTGAACTACAAATTCATCAGAGTGGGTTTCGTTGTTTTGTAAACAATAATACAGCCTATTATCAAAGTCTGCACGAACTTTAATATCAGCCGGCTTACTATGACTTTTTTATTTTTAATGCTACCTCCCGGACTATTATTTTGAATGATAAGTGTCCGTTGATACTTTTTTGTTGGAAAGATCTGTTTTTTGGGTTCTGTTAGAGTCAATAATTTTTGGTTTGTTTGAGACTTTTAAATATTATTAGTTTCCATCATTTGTACGATCTGTACTGTCATTCAGATGTACTTGTCACGATGGTTCACAGTATACCTGAGCGAGTGGAGATAATTTTCATATTTGCCTCCCAGAACCAGTGTTATTTATAAACAGCTCAAATATTCCATGAAAGGCATCCGGACCAAAATGTAAGTCATGTGTATGTCCTCGATTCAGTTGAAAAGTTAAAAGAAACGGGATCAGTGCAAAATAATAAAAGGAATGCCCCAAGATTACTGGAATGAAGCAACCCAAATTGGAAATTTTGCAATGGAGCCTACTGCATCAACACGTCAAGTATTTGCAGTGACAGGACTTTCACATGAGTCGGTTAGAAAGGTGTTGAAATTACAATAGTTTCACCCGTACAAAACACAAATTCTTCAAGGACTAGGCGATGATGATCCAGACCGACGAATTGATATTTGTGAACTCATGACTGAAAGAATTCACGTTGAAAAGAGAATGTTGAAAAAAAATTGTTTCAGTGATGAATGTACCTTTTTGTGTATTTCATCAGTTCGGACTTACATTGTCTAATATAATATAAATTGATTTGAAAACCCTGAAAAAAAAAATTAAAGTTATCATCCGATGACGATTGTGGATACTAACAATTGAAACGGCGTGACATAACTTGGTTTGAAATCATATAATTTTTATTTTTCATTTTATGTTAATAATATTTTTTGATTTTCATTTTTCAGCTTTTATTAATATTTCAATCTCTATTTTTTTATTTGTTTGGTTGTTGCTTGTATGTTATTTCTTTGTTATTTCAGTTTTTGTTTAAAAAAATTTTTATTTTTGATCAATCTTAATAATTTTTATATATACATGAAATAAACCACGAAACATTGTTTTTTTAAAAAAATTTTTATTTTTGATCAATCTTAATAATTTTTATATATACATGAAATAAACCACGAAACATTGTCAACCACCTTCAAACGTACATTTTTGTCAAATGGTAATGTAAATAAACAAAACTGTCGGTACTGGAGTGATGCGAACCCGCATCGATTCAGACAAGGTCACACTCAATATCCTGAAAAACTAAATGTTTGGACAGAAATATTAGGCGATGCTATAATTGGTCCCTTGTTCATACCAGGCAATTTAAGTGGCGACATTTATCTTGATATGCTGGAAAACACCATCGGACCTTCAATTGTGCATGAATTAGAGAACTAAAGTGATGACCAAGGCAAACTAGCTGTAGACGAAGATTTGCTGCACTTCCAACAAGATATAGCACCTCCTCACTATGCAGCTCCAGTTAGGCACTGGTTGGATACTAATTTTCCGAAGAAATGGATTGGAAGTAGAGATCCTATTGAGTGGACACCGAGGTCACCAGACTTGGCGCCACCTGACTTTTTTCTGTGGGGTCACCTCGAATCAGTTAATCATAAAACTCAACCTGCGTCACTTGGGGAATCTCGAGAAAGAATTACGCAAGCATGTCGCGCCATTACTAGAACAACATTTGCCAAAGTACGTGCAGAATTTGAATTTTTAGTTATTTATTTGCCACTGAGGTACAGTATGTACATATGGTATGTCAATAACTTAATATATGTTAATATATGTAATACGAATAAAATAGGTAGGTATTTCACTTATCATATATGTGTATGTACATATATGCATATATACACACATACACATATATAGACAAGACACGTATATAAATTCCTTAGTAAAAATATGGAACAGTCGTCGAAGATAACACTAAATAATAGTAAGAGGAAAGAAAATAAGTCAAATCATTGCTCAACGGAAATCATCTTCCAGGAATTCATCACAACTATAGTAACATTTTTGCAGCAGCAATTGTTTTACTCTACCATGAAACACTTTATCAGAGGTAATTTGTTTGATCTGCTCTGGTAATTACAGATTTATGGCATTATACAAAGGGGACTTTTTATATTTCGTTGACTTATGATTTGGAATACGCAAAACATCACCATGACGTGTGTTGTTTTATCGTTCACAAAATAACGGAACCCACTTTGAACATTTACCTAATTGAAATTTTTAATAAATTTGCAGTTCAACAAAAACCTCATTAAATATTCCATTTGAGCCAAAGTTTCACAATTATTGCTTCACACTGTACAATTATTATTTTATACTATATAGTATTCTTTATAGTATTTTCAATGATGTATCACAAGTAGGGGTTTGCAATTTGAACTTTTTGTGTTTTGGTGGGTGGGGCCTAGGGGGTTGATGGGGGTGAGTTCTCTTTCATGTCACTTTAGTTCTCCCTTACTATCCTAGAAACGGTTTCAAGCATTTTTCGATATCAGCTTTCGCTCGTGAGATATAGCCCATTGTAAGTTTTGAAATTGACACACTGTATAATAACTTATATATGGTTTGTTTCAGAAGTTTTGGTCGTTTTCATGAGTCTACTTTAGTGAATACGTAATCGATTCGATTTTGGTGAGTTTTGCCTTTGAGAAGTGCCTGGGTGGCTCACCGGTGTGCAACTTTTATCCTGAACGTCTACTGTTGTCGTAGTGGATCCATTTTTCATCACACGTTAACCTCCGATCAAAAAAGGATCGATTTTGGTTGTGCAAAAGCGAAAAAGGGTAGACCCCGAAACGTGACATTTTGTGTCGATCGTGTAAATTGTGGGGCATCCACTTCTCGAACTTTTGGAGCTCTTTCCAATACGTTTCATATCATCAAAAATATCATGGAAGTTAATGCCCAGCTCTTCCGTCATCCCACGCATCGTTTGATATGGGTCAGTCTTCACCAGGGTCCTCAAATCATCGTCTTGGATTAATGTAGATCCACCACTTCAGGACTTATCTCCGAGGTTAAAATCTCCGGAACAAAATTTCGCAAACCAACGTCGTTGGTGCGTTCATTAACACTATCATTGTCAAATGTCTGGTTAATTTTTCGAGCTGTTCGGCAGCGCTTGAGTTCAATTTGAATTCGTAGAGAAACATCCACCTATGGCAATACTTTCTATACATTTCTGGGAATTCCTTATGGAAAATCACTCGACCACATCTTATAGTAATAAGAAGAGAAAAAGAATACAAAATTAAAATTTGTAAATGATGAACAGCATTCTATTGATGAGAAAATAACGGGAAATATTTTGATGAAGCGATACCAGTTCGTCGAACCCTATAACAAACACTTCTTTGTTTTTAACTCTAGTTTAATCAGTACACCACCGAACAAAATATGTTTTCTGTAACTTCTTATAAATATTGTTTCAGCTTTCAAGATACGTTCATAGTTTCGAGGTGTAGTGAAAACCCTTGCTTGAAGTATTTGGTGAAATTTACTGCGCAGAATATTATTTCTGATCACAATTATAAAAACAGTTTTATGATTTGCTTCAACGATAAGTGATTTAAGTGTATGTGAGCAATTCACTAAAAATAATTTGGTAGTACCAGCGTCTTGAAAAAATGAGTCAAAATTCACCTATAGTGGAAATATCTCAGGGAAAACTGAAAGGGGCCATCTGGAAGGACTACGATGGCAATGATTTCTATACATTTCTGGGAATTCCTTATGGAAAGCCACCTGTGGGAGAATTGAGGTTCAAGGTACGTATCCTGTTTGTTGATAACAGTTGTATTGAACTAACACCCGCGCTGAAAAGTCTTGAGCCTAAGAGCAATCTCCAGCGCCGCTCTTAACATTTCGAAACCACTCCTGTAGAACAATTTATCTTTTGCCTCAAAATAGGTGTCAGTTTCAGCAATAACCTCTTCATTCCAGCGAAATTTCATACCGGTGAATATTTTTTTGAGGTCTGCGAACAGCCAGTAGTCGCCGGGAGCTAAATCTGGCGAATATTGTATATGCGAGGCCATTTCCTGCAATTTCATCATCATTTTCATTGATTTGAGATACTGCGCTTTATCTTAAGTGTGTTCCTATATCTGGAAATCGATTGCGGCAGTTGTATCGCCAACACCATATGAAGGAATGACTCCATTGAAAAATCCTGCACTGACACCTGTCGGATATAATCCAGCATCCATCGTGTTATCAACCAGGGGGGGTAGTTGTTTTCTGATAGGTGTCAGTCCATTAACCTACAGTGTAGGTAATTTTAGACTGGCCTGAACGAATTTTTCTTTTAGATAATTTGATTTACAGCCAGTCTCTCAATTTGTGAATCGTCATAATGACCTTGCGCCCAGTTTGACTACGATCCGTCCCCATACCTATGCAACATACTCATAATTTAATCATCTGCATGTGTTTCATGTACTCTCTTTATTTTAAATAACACTCTTTTATTAGCTTCACCTGTTTGTATGTTTGTTTGTAACTTTCAAGCTCGGGATCTGTATTTGACAGAATTATCAACATTATTGCTTGATCTACTCGCGGGCAGATGGCGCTGTACGTAACCTCCTTGATATATTGATATTATTGCTTGATCTATTCGAGGGCAGATGGCGCTGTACGCAACCTACTTGATATATCGACATTATTGCTTGATCTATTTACGGGCAGATGGCGTGTACATAACCTTCTTGATATATCGACTTTATTGCTTGATCAATTCTAGTATTAGTATTACTAGTATTATTGTAGCAAAATCGACGGGCGCTTAATATACAAAAAATATGGCACAAAGCGCCGACGCTTTTTTCACAATAATACTAGTATTTTTCGTTCGTTATTGTTTTGAGCTTATTTAAAAAAATGTTTTCAACTTTTCAGTTTGATGTTCTTCAAAAGCTTGTTTTTTAGTTTTTTAAACTATTTTTATTTGAATTTCAGGCACCTGTTATTGCAGAAGCATGGAAAGGAATAAGAGATGCAAGTGTGGAAGGAAGTAGATGCTTTTCAAGGCATGAACGAACTGGAGAGATTGGAGGATCAGAGGATTGTTTGAATTTGAACATCTACACCAAAGCAGTGAGTCACTTTTCCAGTTTCAGTAAGCTATGTTCTGTTCAGTTGCAGATCTTTAGATTTATGAAAAAATGTGATTTCCATAAAAAAATTCTCTGCAAATGCAATATTAGGAAGGTATATATTACTCACTTTACATAGAACTATTTTGAGTATTTTCACCTTCCACAATCTGACGAATATGTAAATATTGGAATAAATATCTTTGTAAAGGTGTACAAAGGGCAAACTTTCCTTCGCTGGTTCGCTTCATTCTCAAACGTTGTCGACAGATGTCAAAAGAGTTTTGAAATGTGAAATATACTAATGCTGTAGGTTTGATATTAGTGTGATGCAATTCAATAACTATCCATATCATCAGATAAAAGTTATATTGGTCATACTTCAAGACGATTGAAAGTGCTTGAGGGTGAACATCGAGATTACATCAGAAATAGTCAATTACCAGGATCAAAATCATCAACACATAGAACGGTGAATATCGAATTGAATGGAAGGAAGATCAAATAGTTTGATTTTTTTCTTGGAGATGATTACTTGGTGATCGAAACACGTGACGAGGTATTAAAATAACGGTTTCGTGTTGGGAAAAAACTCCAGTAATATTCATTACTACACCAAAGGTTCCAAACACTGCACTACAAGTGAATAGAACACCCTGTATTTTTTCATTTGTATGAAAGACTACATTTTTCATCAAAGGTATACTGTACGAAAAACAAATATTTTACAAATCATACCCAGTTTATTAGTTGTTGTAACCACAAAAAAAGTAATTTATTTACGTTCACTTACTCAAAATGTTTTCAATATGAGCAATAACGCCTAAATTTTTAATTGAATAGTCCAAAAGATGTTCAAAATGGCCACCATTTTCTTCAACACATAATGTCGGTCTTTTTTTAAACGAATTATCTACACGTTCCAGCATATCTTCTGGGATTTCCCTGAAAGCTCTAGTGATTTTTCCTACCTATCCATTTTTGATTTAAATGATCTTTGAGGTATTGTTTTAAAATGTGTTGGTGCATCGTCTTATTGTGGCCACATTCTAAATCTTGTTCCATATGAAACCTTGGCAAAAGTGATCACGTTTTTCAAAATCTCTTTCTTCACTTTCCCCCAAAGCATAGACCATTTGCACTTTATCTTCCAATACATAATTCATAATGAAAATGATTCAATATACACGCGAAAGAAACTTCTACATATGACGTTATTGACAAATTCCGAGATTTATTTTTTTGAAGAAGATCGACTTTATCATGTAACACATAAGTACGAGATGGCTACTGCTGGAGACTGCCGCAGTCCCGGATCTTAAGAATCAAAGGAGTCCATTTGGAGGAGTGTAAAACAAAAGCCTTGTTACCTTGATGGTGTAGTGCATTAAGGTTTGGTGCAATAAACCCTAGGGTGAGATCTAGCATTTTGTTACTTTTCCTATTGAATCATTGGATTGAGTGAATATTACTGGAGTTTTTTCCCAACACCAAATCGTTATTTTTACACCTCGACACGTGTTTCGATCACCAAGTGATCATCTTCAAGAGGAAGATAAAACTTCCTCTTGAAGATGATCACTTGGTGATCGAAACACGTGTCGAGGTGTGAAAATAACGATTTGGTGTTGGGAAAAAACTCTAGTAATATTCATTACTACACCAAAGGTTCCAAACAGTATATCACAAGTATTGGATTGAGTAGCAAATTTCAAAACATTCACACTCTGATCTCTTTATAGAGTGACAGTCTATATTAAATATTGATCATCCATTATTTTTATCTATTATTCTTCAAGTTGGAGATGTAAAATCCTATGAAACTCTTTGTTTTATTGGTATTGTGTTGAAAATGGGTACAGTATTTCTATAAACTTCTGTTGGTGATGTTCGAATGAGATATTTCGATTTAGCAACCAGTTTCAGCACTTGTAATTGAGTTTCTATAAAAAATCAAGAACTGACCTGCAATTTTGCCTCCGCAAATCAAAAACTAGCCATTCCAACTGATTCTCGCTTTGAATCAAGGAAAATGCAAGGAAAATGTACGAAAGTATATTGTTATGAACCTACTTCATTCTGAGACGTTGAGCTCAAATATTAAAACATCCCAACATATCAAGTCTCCTAGTCAATTTCCTTTGTTGTGAGTTCAGAGGTATATACGGCAGAAATCTAATTATTTTCAGAGACTCTTTTGGAGATTTTCACCATGATATGCCATTTATACATTGTGTTGTCCAGAAAAATACCTTATTTGAGCCTCTTACTGAAGTCATGAAAAAATGCGTATTGAGAAAGATATGTGAAATTTTTGTTCAACTTGATTGTAGCTTCCACACGAAAGTAATCAACTCAGACCTGTAATGGTGTATATACACGGCGGAGGATTTACAAGTGGATCGAACAGTCCAAAAATGTACGGCCCGGAGTTGCTCATAACAGAAGACATAGTGATGGTAGCAATAAACTACCGCATTGGGATATTCGGATTTCTCTGTCTGAAAGACCCTTCTCTGGAAATACCCGGAAACGCCGGTTTGAAAGATCAAGTCCTGGCTCTGAGATGGATACGAGAAAACATCGAAAAGTTTAATGGCGATCCCAACAACATCACAATATTTGGCAATAGTGCTGGGGCTGTATCTGCGAGTTATTTGATGCTTTCACCAACCGCCATAGGGTTATTCCATAAAGTTATACTACAAAGCGGTTGCGCTTTGAATTTTTATGGAGATGGAAATTGGGTGGCTCTAAAAATTGCGAAATTTCTCGGAGAAGAAGTGGAAAGTGAAGAAAAGGCATTACAAGTTATTAAGAATGCATCTATGGAAGAGTTAAATGAAGTCAGAGAGAAAATGAGTGTGGTAAGTTCACATATTTTGCACTTTGATAGATTTTTTTATATTTCATGAAACAAGATTTCAAGAATGTCATTTTATTTTTGAAAATACATCAAGAATGTTCAAGTTACCCCAACTGGTGCCCGAATTGAAGATTGTCGTTATATACGATATGATTTTGATTTTTTAAAACTCAATGACTTCTTCACATGTCCAGTGTGAAAAAAATGAATTTTCTTGAATATGTGTGAACACTTACTTTTTATAAACAACTGTGCTCATTTTTGTTATCAAGAAGCCATCGCAGATGAAGTGATCAATTCCTTCCATCACATTAACTCACTCATTTTGCGACATACTGTTGCGTTTTTCCCCATGAGTTGACCAATAATTGACTACACTGAACAATAATCAAACTTAACAAACAAACAAACTTATCACTTCAAATACAACGAACACTTCAACTTAAACCTCAACTATTATTCGGATGTCTATCGCCTTACTAGATCGCTTCGAGTACCGCACTATCACTTTCATTGGACTGTCTCGATGCGCGAGTAGATGGTGCTTATATTTGGTAATCTGAAGCGCTGGAACATTCCTCAGAATTTCATCGAAGTCGGTAGAACATTCGCCGGAAATTCCATCGATTTGGTACGAACAGCCGCGAAATGTTGGTCGAACTGGCTACCAGTGGCAGCCGGCGTTATTTTCTTTAGGGTATGATTCACGACAATACTGTCACACCTGTGGGTTTCAGGAAGTTAGTGTCAAATTATAATTTACACAATTCAGGACGTTTACATATACCTATACACAAGTAACTCAGTTATTGATTCAGTTTCACTTTTTGTTTGATCAATGTTTTTCACTGCATTGATACTAACAGTAGTATATACGTCGTGGACTTTTTTTCAAGTATCATTACTAAAAATCGCTTGATGGGTACATTTTCAAGCGATATATCGTTCAGTTTTACTTCTGCATGACAAACGTTCTCTTTAGAGAAATGATAATATGAGTTTCAATTTGTGAAAATTAAAGCTCAGTAGTGTCAGACCATATTTTGAGGTTGTTGAATGCTTTCTGGAGAAGGTTCCGAATATACGTTACATTTTGCCCTCTGTCGTAAATGACTAAATCATCTGCATATAATTTTAATCTGAATGGAGACTCGCATGGCATATTCAATTGGCTACCAGAAACAATGTTGCGCTTAAGTTAGAACCTTGCGGGATTCCATTAATTTTATATTTTGATCCAGATAGTTGGCCTTCTACCTGAATTCGAAAAATTAGAGTTTTGAGACATTTATGAACAATTATCAGATGATTTCTTTTAATCCCCTTTCAATACTTTTCATTCTCTTATATCGCTATACAGAAGCTTTATTACATTCACGGAATATGGCGATACAGTGTAGTTTACATGGAAGTGCTTCATAAATTTCGGGTTCTGAAAATATTGAATTGTTCATAGTCGAGAGATGTTTTCGAGAGCCCGATTGTTCTTGAAAGAGCATATATTCTTGTTCTAAGAACCAGTTGGGTTTTCTGCCTATGATTTTTTTCATTAATTTGCACATACAGCAGATGAGTAAAATAGGTTTTGATAATTCTGGAATGTGTTTAGTCTTGTTTTGTTTGTATATTGGTACGATAATTGATTTGCTCCATTGATCAGGAAAAGTATTATAATTGAAGTATATTGTTTTTCTTTTTTTCTTCTCATAACTCACAGTAACTCTTCCTAAAATTGTTGCAGATGTAGAACTGATTACGGAAGTCCAATTGATTTCGACAGCAACTATGGAAATCATAATAACATATTTTTTCAAGTTGTATTTTATTGTATTTTATAGGACAAACAGTTGAAGCCTTGGATAAAGCATCAAAGTGCCTAGCGGTATTCATTGATTTAGCAAAGGTTTTTGATACTGTCTCTCACAGAAGATCATATTGAACAAACTCTCTACATATGGAATTCGAGGTAATGAATTGGACTTGTTGCGAGACTATTTGTCACAACGGACACAAAAATTTAAAATCGGGAACCAACTCAGTGGACCATTAAACATATCTATTGGTTTTCCACAGGGAACAGTTTTGGGTCCAATTCTGTTCCTTGTATACATTAACGCTATATCCCAAATAAAAAGTTTCAATAGCCATATCATTTGTTGCGCTGATGACACAGCGGTAATATTCAGAGATGACAGTTGGCACAATGTCTTCAATCGAGCTGAGGAAGACCTACAGAGATTAAAAATCTGGTTCAACAATAACCTTCTGAGTATTAATATAAAAAAGACAAAATTTATGTGCTTCTCATTAAATTCTGACGACCAACCCCCGTTCAACAAACTCAGAATACACATGCCCACTCGCACCAAGAATATGACATGCAACTGCTCAAAAATAGAAAAAGCAACGTCCATAAAATATCTGGGCTTATTTATTGAACAACATCTGAGGTGAAAAGAACACATTTCTCAAGTTATAAAAAGGATGAGACTTCTCATGTTCAAATTCTACACCCTTAGGAAAATATTCTTTCGAATAAATATATTAATTTTATATAATTCCTTGGCAGAATCTATTCTCAGGTATTGTATTATGCTGTGGGGAGGAGCATTCAATAATAGCATAAATTGAAAACAAATAACCCAAAACTCTTAAAAAAAAATTACAATCAAAAGTTGTTCCCAATGGAACATCTATATAAGGAAACTAAAATACTCAACATAAGATCCTTATACAGCTACCACTGTTTGATATGGATGTTCTTGAATATTCAGAAATTTAGTTTTATCGGTCACAAAACGACAAGATGAATCGAAAACTTGCTTATCAAAATTCTGCTCTTTAAAAAAAGTCATACACAAAGATTCGTTTTCTTTTTCGGACCCAAATTATACAACCTTCTTCCAACATGCTTGAAAAATATGAATAAATTGAGTAAATTCAAACCAACCCTCAAGCAACACATTTAAGAGAACCCGATGACATTCAATATATTTAAAAAAAAAACCAAAATATTTGAAGACTCACCTCGAAATCCTGCATCACCGATTGCTACCCCTCCCTCTGCATTATCACCATCACTATGATTTCCAGTTTTTCATTATAATTTCTATTTTCTACATTTATATTATTCTTTGTATTTTTTGTTTACGTTTACATTTCAAATTCTCTACCACTGCAGTTATATGCATATAATAATGTTATTACAGAAGTTGAATACTTCTTCAAGTTGGGTAGAAAAAGAACAAAACAAGCGACATACGCCTAGGTTGGTGTGTTCTATACCTTACTTGCAAGAAGTAAGATTATTATTGTATAAAGATGTATATATTGGATCGTATTGTATATAAATACATTTATTTTAGACTGTATCAGGAAAAATCATACCCTTACTTTAACTTACTTTAATTCCGTTTTGTACACATCATACGATTCCAATGTATTTTTTCTGAAGCTGAGTAAAATTATGAATAAAAATTATGAATATATGTCTTCTTCGTCATAGTAATTGAAGGCAATGAAGGATAATTACTTCTCTTTATTTTCTCCACAGAAGACGTCGAACTCCCAAGTCGTATATACTTAATTATTTCATATTCCAATACGACAAATTGCTTATTCTCTATTCTCCACATGTCAAAAACCGACATTATTCTTATCTGATTAATAATTGAGTAATTGTTTTACTCTTAATGACGATCAATACGCAGCATACATAATGCCATGAATGTTTTTTTCTTGCACAAGGATTTCAAAGCATCAACACATAGACACTTTGGAGCAGTTATCGAGTATCCAAATTCATCAGCATTCCTAACAAAACATCCCTTAGAAATCATCCAATCTGGAGTGTACAACAAGGTGCCAATGATGATAGGGTATAATACGCGAGAGGCTATGTTGATGTTGGGTGAAGGGCCCGTAAAGGAAGTGAATCCAGAAGATCAAATTCCATGGCAAATGGGGTTAGAGAAAGGTAGCAAGGCGTGGGAGACTGTCTGTGATAAAATAAGAGACTTCTATTTGAAAGGGAAGAATAAATCCGATCCTTTTCTGGTGAGTAAATTTTGTTGGCGTTATTAGTACTTCTAAACTAATATAAAGAGCGCCGGTACGAATGGCTCGCACAAACTTGGCTTTGTTACGCGAGTGACGCAAAGTACGGAAATAGTATTTACAAAATGCCAAAATTAGGTACTTTTTAGGTGCTTTTTAAGTACCGAAGTAAAAAATTTGGTGTTCTGTAACTTACACCGCAACTCAATACTCAAGGTTGCGTTGCTAGCATTATGTAACGCGACGAAAATAATAATGAAATAATGAATGTTAAGGAAACACTATTAGGTGCTTATTAAGTGCTAAACGGTGAGGATCGGAACATTTTCTAATTAATAAACAAAAGCTTTCAATTTCGCTAAACAACAGATCTAAGAATCAGGTCTCTCGAAAACGAGGACGAATGCTCAATCAGGTATAAACTGAGCGTGGTAATAAAGTGTTAATTAGGTGCTTGCAAGAAATTGAGGTGAAAACGACCTGTGAATGAGCGAAAAAAAATCGGGATACTAGATTTGGGAAAAAAATTTAACAATATGCAATAAAATCTTGAAATTCTCATAAACTAATACATAGACAATCAAAATAAAGTGCTAATTAAGTGCTTACTAATAAACCTATGGGGCTAATGGGCCTGAAAACTACTATGCTTGATGGACTGAGTTCTTACAGTACGTTCCTCAATAAATAAGGGCATGAGAATGAAGTGTTAATCAGGTACTCATTAGATATTTATAGTAAATATAGACTACATGATGCCTATGGGGCTTATGGATTTGAAAACCACTATGCCTGATGGACTGAGTTCTTACAGTACTTTTCTGAATAAATAAGGGTATGATAATGAAGTGTTGATTAGGTGATAATTAGACATTTATGGTCAATCTAGATTCCATAATGCCTATGGGGCTTATGGATTTGAAAACCACTATACCCGATGGACTAAGTTCCTACAGTATGTTTCTCAATGAATAAGGGCATGAGAATGAAGTGTTGATTAGGTACTCATTAGATATTTATAGTAAATCTAGATTCCATGATGCCTATGGGCTTATGGATTTGAAAACCACTATAGCTGATGGACTGAGTTCCTACAGTACGTTTCTCAATAAATAATGGCATGAGAATGGAGTGTTAATTAGGTGTTCATTATATATTTATAGTAAATCTAGATTTCATAATGCCTATGGGGCTTATGGATTTGAAAACCACTCTGCCTGATGGACTGAGTTCTTACAGTACGTTCCTCAATAAATAAGGGCATGAGAATGGAGTGTTGATTAGGTGTTCATTAGATATTTATAGTAAATCTAGATCCCGTAATGCCTATGGGGCTTGTGGATTTGAAAACCACTATGCCTGATGGACTGAGTTCCTACAGTACCTTTCTCAATAGATAAGGGCATGAGAATAAAGTGTTATTCAGGTGCTTATTAGATATTTATAGCAAATCTAGAATCTATAATGCCTATTGGGATAATGGATTTGAAAACCACTATGCCTGATGGAGTGAGTTTTTACAGTACGTTCCTCAATAAATAAGGGCATGAGAATAAAGTGCTAATTAGCAACTCATTAGAAAATCTAGATTACATGATTCCTATGGGGCTTATGGATTTGAAAACCACTATGCCTGATGGACTGAGTTCTTACAGTACGTTCTTCAATAAATGAGGACAAGAGAATAAAATGCTAATTAGGAGCCCTTATTTATTGAGGAACTTATCATAAGTCATGGTGGTTATCGGGTCCATGAGCCCCTTAGGAATTATATTTATATTTAATGAGCTGCTGATTTGCACTTTATTCTGTTTTTTCACATTTCACGTTAGTCCTTAGCTCGCACAAAGTTCTACTTCTGAGGATTGTCCTTCGTAGGGATGCGACAGCTGGTTAACGGAAAAACAGACATTTTTATACATATTTCAATTTCTCGCATTCCTCATTCTGTCTGTTCTGTTTAAAATCTTTTTTCCGTTAATCAACTGTCGCACCCCTACGAACGACAACCCTCAGAAGTCGAAAAACTTGTGCGAGCTAAGGATCACCGAGGTCTTACCTTTTAACGTGTGATTCCTAACACGTTATAGTTACAATTGTTACTCTATCAAAATCAAAGAGAATCATTTTATGTGGTAATTTTTGCCATGGCCGTTCTCATACCTGAAACATAAAAAAAAAACCTTGGATGTGAATCTTCTTCAGAAAATTTCGAAGTTCAATTCTTATAATTCAAGTTTTTCCCATTTTCCTTTAGATAGTTTTTCGAATACTATTGACTCTTGAATATTCCGTATCAGATTTTGATTTGACTGGATGAAGAGAATACAGTCAAATACATTCTCAAATTGCGTTATTAAAATAATTTCGAGAGGTATATTTCATGAAAAACATTGTGATATTCCAATAAACTCTAACATCTCTATGAAAAATCTCTGAGAGACTGAATAGGAATGAGAGGTATTCAAGAAACACTTCATCATGAGATTTTCATCACATGCTTTCAGAGAAACGCAACACATGTTTCACTATTCAATGGCCTCTTCAGGCATGTCAAATTCAATGTTTTATATATGTTTTACAATTTGAAGTTCACACATTTCAGGTACCTGAGTTTGAAATGTAATGAAATGAAATGACCCGAGCTTGTCTTATGTACTAGTTCCCACATTTGAAAAAATATTCAGTTATGTGAAGTTATTCAATTCTATTTGGTCATTCAGTGTATGACTCGAATTCCTGAACCTATTTATTACAGAACTGAAAGATTTTTTCATGCACCGTTTGGAACCTTTGGTGTAGTAATGAATATCACTGAAGTTTTTTTCCCAACACCAAACCATTATTGTAACACCTTGACACGTGTTTCGATCACAAATGTGATCAATCATATTCATGATTGAACTCATGACAATCATATTCATGATTGAACTCATGAACTCATTGCAAATGTGAAGTTGTTCTTTCCATTCAAGAAAATACTTCTGTGACCTTTAATTCTTTGAGAAAAAGTTCTCCTTGTTTGGTTGATATATATTTTTGAGCAAGAGCCACAAGTCAACTTATATACCACTGATCTATTCGACACTGAAGTTTTGTCTGATTGGTGGGTTCACCAAAATATGACAATGTTCTATAGCGGACGCTTTGGTTTCTTGAATGTGGGTAGTCCTGGTCCATGGCTTGTTTTTGAGCTTTTTGCGAATGATGGAGTTGATATTATCTAAAAAACCGTTAAAATAAGAATAAAAAGATCAAATCACGAATTTCCAAGAACAAAACTAGTGGAGTGTCATCACCAGTTAATTTATATCATGCGTTCATTATCAAAAAATTGTCATTCGAAAGATACTAACAAAATGACTGTGTCCGTTGCCTCATCGTCTTTGATAATGTTTATCGCAGTCATAGACGAAACGCTAGATATAAGAACTTTTATTGATAACTCAATTTGTTGAATTATTTTTCAGCCTGCTACGGATGCCTTATTCATTACTGGAATCATTGCTACAATAAAACACCACCTGGTCAATTTGGGCAAACCGATTTTTTTATATAGAATGAGTCTTGAGGCGCGATTGAATCTACTGAAAGTCCTCTTAAAAGCGGAGAAGCTGCCTGGTAAGAACTCTTATGATTGTCTAATTTAAAAATTTTGGTTACGAAGTTATATTCCTCAACACATAAGTTATCAAGAATCAACTAGCAGTAAAAAAGTGCATCAGAAAATCGTATGTCTGGGAGTTTTGAAAGTACACTCATCCTAGTATGTATAGATAAAAAAATAACCGAATTTACTCATAAACAAATCAAAAGTTTATGTCTATATCATTCAAACAACAATGTTACCTATGTGTTTCGCTAAAATCACAATCTTTTATTAATTTCGTAAAAGTTATATGGATAAATGTATCAGTAATTAAAAATTTTTACTGTTCACTAAGGAGAAATTTGTTTGTGAGGTGAATTATTTCACTTTCGGTACAGCAATCACACTAAGTCAGATACCTAATATCCTATTTGCGATTTTGTAACGACTTTTATGTTGAAATACAGAAAATTCAATCGAATATAAATAATTCGTTAAAATATTGAAACTGAATATTGAATATTTCAAATTCAAAAACAACTATCTACTTGAATGGTGTTGAAGCAGAGTTCAAAAGCAGATCCAACATCAAACGGTACTGTTTCGATTCCATAGATTTCATCACTGGTGCCAGGTTCGACCAGTTTATCTTACATTGAAAGTAAAAGTTGCAGTAAAAGACAGAGGACAAATCTCATTTGGCGGTCATTTTTAAACCTTGGTTTTGCAACAGATCTGTTTTGGAACTTTGGTTTATTTTTCATATCCATGGATTTAGTCATCTGTCGATTTCATAGATGAAGTCTTCCTTGGAAGAGAACTTTTTGCTTTTCCTTACTCAGGCTTGTCCTTTAACTCTTTCAGGTACAGGAAATTCAAAATTAAACACCCCCTAGATGTACAGATTTATTTTTTCGCCTATTTTTTGAGAAATTTTGGAACTTCACAAACTGAACACAACCAGTTTGTTCTAATCTCAATGTCTCCTGAACTGCAAAGAGCTCATCTCCTACTAGTTCGTTCAGGCTGATGTGCACTCTGTGTAAGCCTCAAAGCCAGACTTTGACAAGGTTTAATTTTCTTTGTTGGTATCGTCAATTTAGTTGACGTTCTTGAAGATGATACCAATTAATTTATCAGCGACTAAATGATCTATGATACTTCTGCGGAAGTCTTTCATTAATGACTTCGGAAGACCAAGTAATTTGTATAAGATGAACGAATTCACAACAACAGCATTCAAGAAAAAGAACATTATTCTGTGCCACCACTTTTAGTTTTTACGATCAATGCCATAAACGGCCGGCATCTGATCAAATTTATCAACTGCATTCATGTATTTATTATAATCTACAAGAACAGCACGGCACGGTATATTTGTGATGCTTCCATCACCTCCTTTTCGTCTCACTTCAGTTACGTGATGAGGACTGTGAAAATTCGAGAGGAGATGAACTGCTCTTTTGTCTCGCCATTTATAAGCACAAACTCCCGTGTTACTGCAAAACCATTCATAATCACCTCTTTTCATGATCCTATCTGGTGCGAAAATTGGTAAATGTTTTCTATTAGTATTGACAGTAGCACAGACATATATACAGTGCTTTTCAGATAAAAGTATTCACCTTTAATAACTTTTGTAATACTGGTATTTAGGAAAAATCCAAAAACACGTTAATTTATGTTGGAAGGGGCAAGCATTATGGCTTATTTAACTTACTGGAAAAGCCACCCCCTCACCCCTAGCATCATCCCTTTTTTTAAAATTACTTCTCATATTTTTGATGTAAAATTTGGATACTCCTCTTTGAGCTGATTTCAAAAATGTATAATACTTGTAGGTTGAAGTGGTTAGTTCATGAGATAAACAATTTTTCTTTTAATAGCACAAATTTTACTTATTTTTTACTTTCACCTTATTTGCCTGTAATAAAATGGGTTGTACAACAGTTCAAACTCTTTAATCTT